ATGATAGAGGTATATAAAATCATGAGTGGTGTGGAGAGGGTGGATAAAGAAAAGTTATTTGTTAGTTCTCATAATAGAAGAACTAGAGGACACCAAATGAAATTAATGGGGAGCAGGTTTAAAACTAATAAAAGAAAGTTCTTCTTCACACAGCGTGTAGTCAACCTGTGGAACTCCTTGCCAGAGGAGGCTGTGAAGGCTAGGGACTATAACAGAGTTTAAAGAGAAGCTAGATAATTTCCTGGAGGTTAGGTCCATAAAAGGCTATTAGCCAGGGGATAGAAATGGTGTCCTTGGCCTCTGTTTGTCAGAGGCTGGAGAAGGATGGCAGGAGACAAATTGCTTGATCATTGTCTTTGGCCCAAACTCTCTTGGGCACGTGGTGCTGGCCACTGTCAGCAGACAGGCTACTGGGCTAGATGGACCTTTGGTCTGACCCAGTATGGCCATTCTTATGTTCTTATGAATTTTGTGCCTTTGGTGGCTGGAGCCAGTAGTATTGCTCCACTGGTCCCTGCTCACAGAATTCTTTGTGTACAATCAGGGGCAATATGCTGGGTCCCAGCATTGGGGCTCTGCAAAGACCATCAGTCCAAGGAAAGGAGTGCGAAGGATCATAGGTAACAGAGAGATAATTTCTTGCCCTGGCCACATGGGGTTCATTGACCCACCTAGAATTATTGTCCAGGGACTGATTGTCTGGCAGGCACTTGGGCCCATTTTTAGGTGTCACCTATGTGCAGATAAAGGTCAGTAATTCCAAGTTTACCAGATAGTAGAAGATGATTTCCTTCTGCTCCCCTATGGCCTCTGGCTTCAGGATGTAGTGCACCTGGATTTCCTGTGTATGGCCACAGCTTAGCGTCTCTGACACAGGCTCTATTTTGAGAAAGCTGTTACTTGAGGAGTAAAATGGCTTTGCCACGAAATGGTCCAGTTCGTATAAAGGGGAGACCCAGGAATAGTCATAGCAGTTGGTATTTGATTTATGAATTGCCTGGTAACAGAGAAAATATTTATAGATATATATAGCTATAGATAATTGAAATCCACAGCCCGTGTTTAAAGAACAAGACAATAATGGCCTGCTTCTGGAAGGTACTGGGTGCTGGGCTAATAGGATGACATGGATTCTTTGGCATGCACAGAACATGACACATTATTGCTTGCTTGCTTGTTTGCAGTCATGCAAAGGTTCTTACTCAGGCTATGTCTAGACTGCAAGCCTAGAAAGATACTTTCAAAAAAGAGCATCTAGACTGCAAGCAGTACTTTCGAAAAAGCAAGGCGCTTTTTCGAAAGAAAGCACCCAGGCAGTCTGGATGCTCTCTTTCGAAAAAGCCCTGTTTGCATTCAAGAACACCTTTTTTCAAAAGAGCACTTTCGAAAAAAGGCATTCTTCCTCGTGAAATGAGGTTTTCCGCCGTCAAAAGAAAAGCCGCGTTCTTTCGATTTAATTTTGAAAGAACGCAGCTGTAGTCTAGACGCAGGTGAAGTTTTTTCTAAAAAAGGCTACTTTTTTCGAAAAAACCCTTGAGTCTGGACACAGCCCCAGTGAGAGCTCCCCTTGACAGCAATGGGAAAGCTGTTCCATTATTTCTACAACATCTTGTTTGTACAGTGCCAAAAGCACATTGAAGGCTTTACAGACACCTATGAAAGATTTATCTTGTATCCACAGGATTTAACATCTCACCTGAAGAGCAGTTTGGAGAGGAGAGAGTTTTCGTATGAGAGCGGTGAGCAGAGAACTACTTTGTATTTGAGAGAGGAAGTTATCTAACGCCTTGAGCTTGCCCCACACATGCACATTTCTTTATTTTTCCCTGACTAGAAGTTCTTGACATTTTTTGTTATAAACCCTGACAATTTCAAAAAGTCCTTTGAACATTCTGGACATTTTTAATGATGTAAATCTGGGAGGAGAGAATTATAATGAAAATATCAAATGCTATAGAACAGGGATGGGCAATAATTTTTGATGGGAGTGGCTATTCCAAGAATTTGGTAAGTGGTCAATGACATTAATGGAGGAGATGTGGGGTCCTGGAGGGAGCTGGGTGCAGCAGTGAGCTTGGGGTAGGAGACCAGTTGCAGGAGGAGGTGCGGTGTCTGGAAGGGATTTTGGGTGAAGGAGAAGGTTGTGACCTAGGGCAGAGGATTGGGGCTCAGCAGATAGTCTGGAAGAGGGTAGGGGTGCAGGAGCAGGAGTGCAGAGGGTTTGAGTTATAATCTGGGGCACGGAGTTGGGGTGCAGAATGGGGTGAGGAGCCAGGTACAGGCTCTGGTTAAGAAGCACTTTCCCAAGACGGTTCCTAGCCAGCAATCCAGCAGATCCTCAGGCAGGCTTCCTGACTGCTGCACCCCATATACCTCTCAAAGAAGCCAGCTGCAGGTTTCCAGTCAATGGGAGCTGAGAGATTGTGCTGGGGATGGGCAGTGACCAGAGACTCCCCCCATGGGACATGCAGATATGACATGGCCCCCCTGCAGCCAACCACGGTGAGCAGTGTGCAGTGGCATGGCAAGCAGAGAGCCTGGCTGAGGCTCCTGCTGGCCCACAGGACAGTGACAGGCTGGATCTGAAGCTGGCCTTGCTGAGCTGTCTTTTGCCCACTCCTGACGCAGAATGTGCACTCTTTGAGGAGAAGGGGAAATGGAGAACTAATCCATTCTCTGCCTGTTATATGTTCGGCCAATAAGACTGGCCTTGATGCTTTTTGATTCTGATGCTGCATCTCATGCTAATGCTACGTCAGACGGAAACTCTCCATTTGGGGGAAAGAAGCCACTTGTGTGGCAGGCTGGTTACTCTATGGTGCGTCTATGCAGTTGTGCAGAGGTCTGGAATGTTAGAATCCGCCCTGGGGAATGTGGACTGCTAGGCAGAGTGAAGACAAGGTTGTCAAAAATGCAGATAAGCACAATTCTCACATATGGCCACACCACTGACAGTAGGGCTATTGCCACTTCATGGATATGAAAGAGCTCTAGATACAGACAGCTGCTCCCTGGGAGAGAGGAAGCTGGTTTCAGCAAAAAAATTATATAAACTCCACAACAGAGCCCATCTCTGATCACCCTCCTCCCCCAGCCACTCACTATGAGCCTAACAGAGGCTGAATCAAAATGAGAGGTGTCCAGAGCAAATCGTGCTCGTCCCTGATCGTCTGTTGTGGAGTTGACTTCATAGTCACGCCCTTCCAAGGAAATCCGGACTGTTTCATTGATGATTGGCTCATTGGTCCCATCCACCAGCTTCACCTAAGGGAGATACACCAAGACCCCATGTTCACACTAGGCAAGAAAGTCGGTGTCTGCAAACTTACTAGCTCTTTGCTCCATCACCACAGCAATGTGACCATGACAGGTGTATTCTGTGAAACACATTGTGGTTGGGACATCTGCTGAGGAACTCTCAGAGGTAGGTGGTAGTGACTATGTAGGGGATACTGCAGTCTCTGAGCTGAGGGTTACATCATGTGCCCATGGGAAATGCAATCTCTATTTTTCTCCTCGTGCCCTGTGGCTAATGTGAGTGCACATTGGGATCAGAGATCTCAGGACTGTGAGTCTCCCAAGGAGTTAGAGAAGCAGCACCTAGACAGTAAGAGGCAACCTCAGAACAGCAAGGGTCAAAGAGCCAGAGGGAAAATTCCCACACAAGTGTTCCCTCTGAGCCCTCAGGACAGTCAGAGCCCTACAATGATAGGTAAACTGCAGCTTAGTTTGAGCTAGCTCCTACACTGCAGCTCCTACCTAGTGTAAGGGGACTGTTAGCCCCTTACTAAAACTCTGTGGGAGTTTTTGGTTCGCCAGTTCCCAGTATCAAAAGAGGAAGGGTCCATGAGAAATCAGGGCCCTGAGACTGACAGACCCCAGAGACAATGGAAAGCAGCCAACACGCCAGCTCAGCCTGATTGACAGGTTGGACAGGCCAGTGAGGAAAGTAAAAGGTCAGGTCCCGTCCTCAGTGTGAACTGGGATTTTTCTGGGTCTCTCTGAGCAAGAAGAGAGAGCTAAGAGGAGCAAGCTGTATGGAGAGGCAGACCTGCAGAAACAGAGCCAGACACACACAGCCCAAGAAGCGCAGACCCTGTGTTGAGCAACAGACTGGCAGTGACCAGAGAGCCAAAAGAGGCAGAGAACAACACAAGGAGCTGGAGACTGGCAAAGCAGCACAGCCTGCAGCTGGGTGTGGTGAGCAGCTGGGACCAGCAAAGTGTGGGGAGAGGCTCTGGGCAGGGAGACACCACCAGCCAAGAGGCCCTACAGGCCAGACTGGGAGAGGGGTCCTGCCACCTAGAGCCTGAGGCCATGTGGTCACTGCCAGAGCAAGCGTGTCCAGTCTGCAGTCCCCCTGCAGCACAGCCAGGGTTTGATAGAGAGCCCTGGGACCTATAAGGAACATACTGTGAATTGTCCTTATACTCTGCAGACTGCTGTTTGTGATGTCCCCATGCTACAGAGCAGGACTGCGTGTTCTTATTTAACCTTTCTCATTTTTTTCTTATTCTTTTCTCTTTAATCAGTTGATGTTTAATACATTGTATTTGCTTTGAACTGTATGAAATGATCACTGGGCCAAGAAAGCATCCAGTGTGAAGAGAGCACCCCGGAGTGGGGACACCCTATCCCCTGCCCCAAGTGACTACAAGGTCGGGGATTAAGCCCCAGGAAACCTGGGCCCAGCCTTGTTGGGGTTTCAAGGACTCTGTTACTCAGGAGAGTGGAAGGGAAACCCTCAGGGTCAGGGAGGCCATTGGGTAAAGGAAGTGGGAGGGGGGACTCAGATACTTTCACTGGTCCATTTCACCAGGGTGGTATAGAAGCCAGGAAAGTTCCCCACAATAGCGGGACCATTCCCCCGCTTACACTAGCTCCTACACTGCAGAGACGCTGGTGCCAGGACTTGTGACAAAGAAGCAAAGGCACTGGGTGTTAAAAATACTCTGATCCAGCAGCTTCCATAGGAGAAGAGATATCTCCACCCTGGAACTGAATATCCTATGGCACATTAGTAAGGATCTAAATGAACTGAATGACCCTTCTCCCCTGACAGCTAGCTGGGAGGGGGAGAGACTTTCAGAGTAAATTATTTACATACAAGGGTGGCCCGTGGCTATAGGCCGATTCGGCCATCACGTAGGGTGTTGCCTTCAACAGCACCCAATGAGGACGTCACAGGGCACCCGGGGCGCCCGATGATGATGTCACCCCCATTGATGGCCATGCAGGCGGGGGTGCCGATTGCGCGTTCCGCCTGGGGTGCTAGCTGCCGCAGCCCACCTCAGGCCACTCCTGTTTACATGAACAAGGAGTCGTAGGGCACCTTACAGACTAACAGATATATTAGCGTATACGCTTCTGGATTATACCCACAAAAGCTTATGCCCTAATAAGTCTGTAAGGGTATGTCTACACTACAAAGTTAGTTCGAACTAACGGACGTTAGTTCGAACTAACTTTAATAGGTGCTACACTAGCGCTCCGCTAGTTCGAATTTGAATCGAACTAGCGGAGCGCTTAGTTCGAACTAGGTAAACCTCATTTTACGAGGACTAACGCCTAGTTCGAACTAGCTAGTTCGAACTAAGGGCTGTGTAGCCCTTTAGTTCGAACTAGTGGGAGGCTAAGGCTTCCCAGGTTTCCCTGGTGGCCACTCTGGCCAACACCAGGGAAACTCTATGCCCCCCTCCCGGCCCCGGACCCCTTAAAGGGGCACGGGCTGGCTACGGTGCCCGTGCCAGGTGCAAGCCTGCCAGCACCCAGCTGACATAATGGACCTTGTCCACGATCTCTGCACTAGGCACAGGAAAGTGGCCGTCTAGGGCAGGAGAGCTGCCAGCCTGGCCACCCAGGACCAGGTGTGCATGAAAATCAAGGGGGTCCACTGAGACCCCCGACACTGAGCCCTGAGCTTACAATGGCCGTACTGGGTCAGACCAAAGGTCCATCTAGCCCAGTAGCCTGTCTGCCAACAGCGGCCAACCCTAGGGACCCTGGAGGGGATGGACCGAAGACAGTGATCAAGCCATTTGTCTCGTGCCATCCCTCTCCAGCCTTCCACAAACTTTGGGCAGGGACACCACTCCTACCCTCTGGCTAATAGGACTCCATGGACCCAACCTCCATGACTTGATCTCACTTCCCTTTAAACTCTGTTCTAGTTGTAGCCTTCACAGCCTCCTGCAGCAAGGAGTTCCACAGGTTAACTATTTGCTTTGTCAAGAACAACTTTCTCTTACTAGTTTCAAGCCTGCTACCCATTCCTTTCCTTTGGTGTCCTCTAGTCCTTCTTTATGGGAACTCAGGAAGAACTTTTCTGAATGCACCCTCTCCACCCAACCCCTGCTTTTAGAGACCTCTATCCTGTCCCCCCTCCGTCTCCTCTTTTCTAAGCTGAACAGTCCCAGTCTCTGTAGCCTCTCTTCATCTGGGACCTGTTCCCAACCCCTGATCATGTTAGTTGCCCTCCCCTCTCCCAGCCTTTCTCTTCCCCTCTCCCACCTCCTTTTCCCAGTCTCCCCCAGTTTTTTTCAATAAAGACAGAGTCAATGTTGGAAGAAACGTTATCTTTATTTTGTACATCAATAAGAAGGGGGGCTAGGGAAGGGTAAGTGGAAGGAGGTGAGGGAGGAATGGGGTACGAGCCCCCGATGGGGAGGACTGGGCTGGCTCTGCGGGCTTCTGGGGGTGGAAGCTCTCCTGCAGCCCCCCAATTACTCCCTCTCCCCAGATGGCAGCCTGCGGCAAGTGCAGCCGGGCTGATGGCCGAGTGGTGTGATGTGCCCAGTGTGGGCACTCAGGGCACTCCAAGCCAGAACTTCTTTGCAAGCGGGGCACCCCTTAGAACTGTGTGTCCGGGGTGGGGGTCGGGACCCTTTAAGCGCAGCCCTCGGCTAGCCTGAGACAGTATCTCCATGCTCTAAGTCCTCCTTTTATGCCCTGCCGGCACTGCTTCCGGCCATCCTTAAGCCCTGTTCAGAGTCCACTCAATGTGGACTTACTAGTTCGAACTAGCAAAACGCTAGTTCGAACTAGTTTTTAGTTCTAGATGCGTTAGTTCGAACTAGCTTAGTTCGAATTAACTAATTCGAACTAAGTTAGTTCGAACTAGCGCTGTAGTGTAGACGTACCCCTAGTCTCTAAGGGTGTGTCTGCACTAGCAAATTATTTCAGGATAACTTAATTTGAAATAACTCCTGAAATAACTATTTGGAAAGAGAGCGTCCACACTAAAGGGAACCCTCAAAATTAGTCTGAGGCAGGCTTCCCTAATGTGGACACACTATCTTGACTTAGGGTGCATCTAGACTGGCAAGATTTGCGCAAAATCTTGCCAGCTGTCTACTCTGGCTGCTTGAATTTGCGCAAGAACACTGATGATCTAATGTAAGATTGTCAGTGTTCTTGCGCAAATACACTGATGCTCCTGCTCGGGAAAAAGCCCTCTTGCGCAAATGTTTTTGCGCAAGAGGGCCAGTGTAGACATGGAAGAACTGTTTTGCGCAAAAAAGCCCCAATGGCTAAAATGGCAATCGGGGCTTTCTGGCACAAAATCGCGTCTAGACTGGCCACAGATACTTTTGCGCAAAAGCACTTTTTGTGCAAAAGCATCCGTGCCAATCTAGATGCTCTTTTTCGCAAATGCCTTTAACGGAAAAACTTTTCAGTTAAAAGCATTTGCGCAAAATCATGCCAGTCTAAACGCAACCTTAGCGTCTCAGGAAGCACTGGGGAGTAATTGCTCTGAATGACACTAGAGAGTAGTTATTTTGCAATAGCAGCAGTAGAGCATCCACACTACTGCTATTTTGCAATAACTATTTTGAAAGAAGCAATATTTCTCATGGAAAGCAGGAGTTATTATTTTGAAATAACCAGCCTTATTTCCAAATAACGAGCTTGGTAGTGAGGACACTCTGCTTGTTATTTCAATATGGCCAAGTCTAAACTACACCCCTTTTGAAAGAAGCAATATTTCTCATGGAAAGCAGGAGTTATTATTTTGAAATAACCAGCCTTATTTCCAAATAACGAGCTTGGTAGTGAGGACACTCTGCTTGTTATTTCAATATGGCCAAGTCTAAACTACACCCCTTTGTTGGCAGAGGGATGTAAATTAGACACATCGGAAGTGCAAACAAAGCGGGGATTTAAATATCCCACGCTTCATTTGCATAATCACATTCTGGCACTGTCTCTGTCAAGTGCCATTTTGAAACAGAAACCGTGGCTTAGACACGGTTTTGCAACAGCGGGGTGATTTTTTGACAGATCCTGTATTCCTTGTTTTCTGAGGAGTACAGGATCGGTCGAAAATTCACTCAGCTGTTGGCAAAACCACTTTAAACCGCGGTTTCAGTAGTGTAGAGGTAGCCTAAAAGAGGCATTATTTCAAAATAACTCCTAATGTAGACCAGAGCTAAGGTGCCACCAGACTCCTCATTGTTTTTGCAGATCCAGACTAGCAGAGCTCCCCCTGAGATTATTTACATAGACACATGTGCTCTGCTGGGATATCCAGAAGAAAGAGCATGCTTGCTCACACTTACCAGCTTTCTCTAGTGTTGGTTACAAATTACTTTAGTACCAATTGGGAAAATATTGCCTCTCAGGCTGTCTCTGCACTACCATATTATTTTAAAATAATAACTCCCAAAATAACTATTTCAAAATAAGCTTATTCCTCTTCACAAGCAAGAGTTATTATTTTGAAATACATTCCCTTTATACATTAATACATTCCCTGTTATATTCAAATCTATTCAAATGCAGGCAGTCCCCGGGTTATGTACAAGATAGGGACTATAGGTTTGTTCTTAAGCTGAATTTGTATGTAAGTCGGAACTGGCTCCAGATTCAGCCACTGCTGAAACTGATCAGAGGCTGACTACAGGAAGCCCTAGGCAGAGTCCCCACAGGACCAACCCGGCAGCACCCCAGCTGCTCTACCCCAGGCGTCCCGCAACAAAAGCCTGGTCTGCTGGGGGGGGGCGCACTAGCTGCGCCCCATCCCTCCCCAGCAGACCAGGGAGACCCGAGCAAAGCCGCAGAGGCGCAGAGGTCCCACCACCTCTGCGGCTTTGCTTGGGTCTCCCTGCTGTGCTGGGGAGTCCCTCCCTGCTGTGCTGGGGAGTCCCCCCCAGCACACCAGGGAGACCCGGAGCAGCTTTTGCCCCTGGTCTGCTGGAGACCGTCTCCAGCAGACCAGGGGCACCGGAGCAGCTTACGAACGGGGCTTTCTCGCCCCGACCTCCGGGGCGAGAAAGTCCCGTTCGTAAGTGCAGATCCGACGTAAGTCGGGGACTGCCTGTACATTATAATCAAAATAATAGTGCTCTCCTTTTTATTTCAAAATAAGGGGTGTTATTTCAGAATAACTCCCCAGTGTGTAGACCTGCTCTCAGAGGGTATGTCTACATTACAGCACTAATTTGAACTAACTTAATTCAAATTAGTTAATTCGAACTAAGCTAATTTGAACTAGTGCATCTAGACTTAAAAACTAGTTTGAATTAGCGTTTTGCTAATTCGAACTAGCATGTCCACATTGAGTGGACCCTGAACCGAGGTTAAGGATGGC